TGGCGGGGGCCCCAGCAGCAGCTCTGAGCCAAGCACCAAGCTGCGCAGCTTTGAGCCAAGCCTCGTGCGCAGGAGCTGCTGGCCGGCACGTGGGGAGAGAGGCAAAAGCCAGAGCAGAGCACGCCTGCCGCATCTGCACAGCGAGCGGAGCCGTGTCTGCGCATGTGTGGGAGCTGCCAGCCAACCGGGGGGGAGGTGGCAAAAGGCAACAGCAAAGCACACCTGCCGCATCTGCCACAGTGGCAGTGCCTCCCCGAGCCAGGCCACGTTGGCACATGAGCAGGAGCTGCTGGGGGGCAGGCCAGAGGCACGTGGCAAGGCAATGGCAGAGCTGGGCAGCGAGACAGCAAGGCAGAGGTGGAGCCAGGCAGCAAGACCGGGGTGAGAAAGCTCTGCACTGGGGCTTGGGTAGGGTTACCATACAGCCAGTTTTTTCTGGACATGTCCTTGTTTTTACATGTTAAATCGCAGTCCAGACAGGTTTTTTAAAAGGCAAAAAATGTCCAGGATTTTTTGCTCTGCAAAGGGTATCAGGGAGGGAGTGGCAGCATGTGCCTTCAATGGAATGTTCAGAGCCACATGCCTGGGCCATTCACAGCCGCTCTGCACACGGGCCTCAGCGTCTGAAGGGAAAAGCACATGGCTCTGGTGAGACCCAGGGTGTTACTGACAATCCCACTAGATTTATGTCCCCGGCTCTGCGGGCAGGAAAGGGGATTGAGTTAGAGCAGGGATGCTGGGGGTGCCTAGCTCTGGGGGAGGGGAGAAGCAATGGGTTAGAGCAGGGGCGTCTGGGGGGTACCTGGCTCTGGGGGAAGGGAGAGGCATTGGATTGGAGTGGGAGGGCTGAAGGGTGCCTAGTTCTGGGGAGGGCACGGGCACTGGGTTAGAGCAGGGAACTGGGTGTTAGAACTTCTGACATTTATTTTCCTGTAGGTGGGCAGCTGGTCTGTTGCTTAGATTTGGGGGTTCCAGACTCTGCTCTGTGAAGACTGTGGGAACTAGTGGTTGGTGGGGCGGGCAGGAGAAAGGAAGGGATTCTGGGAAGCAGGATTCCTGAGTTTCTTTTCTATCCATGCCACTTCTCCACTCAGTGACTTTAACTTCACACTGATTGTATTTATATTTCAGTAAATATTGTATTGGCAGTTTTTGTTTGATTTGTTAAAACTGTGAAGCCAAAACAAAAAAGTAGTCAATATAATGGCCTTTTGTTGAGATGTGTTTTAGTAGTTAAATTGCTGAACTGTCATTGCTCCTTAAAAGTGCTGTCATATGGGTGGAAATCAGGTAAATATTGCGTTTTATTAATATCAGCAGATCTGACTTAAATGGGGCCTGCGTGTTGTGTAGTCTTCCCTTAATCTTTGTATTCATGCCCATCAATATGAAAGAAGCTATTTGCATATATGTGCAACTGCGCTTAAGTTGTAGCCCTCGGTATGTGCTGTGGGCATCATTGTGGCCTTCGGGGCTTCCAAAGTTGAATAGCCCTGACATAGGGGCTGCTTGCTGGGTGTTCTCAGAGGGGCAGAAGAGGGCTCTCAACTCTGGAATGTGCTTCCCCAGTTTGTCTGGGTGTATTGGACTTCCTGGATGTAGTTAACACTATGGATGTGTCTAGACTACATCCCTTTTCTCGAAATTGCAAATGAAGCTGGGATTTAAATTTCCCACACTTCATTTACATAATGGCAGCCGCGGTTTTTTCGACAAAGGGCTTTTCAATAGAAAAACGGCACTTTAGACAGGGATCTTTCAAAAATAAAACCCTTTTTTCAAAAGATCCTGTGAAACTCATTTTTTGAGGAGGACAGGATCTTTTGAAAAAGGTTTATTTTCAAAAGATCCCCGTCTAAACTGCCGTTTTTCTATTGAAAAGCCCCATGTCAGAAAAAATACTGCCGTTTTTCTATCGAAAAGCCCCATGTCAGAAAAAACCACAGCCGCTATTATGCAAATGAAGCACGGGAAATGTAAATCCCGGCTTCATTTGCAATTTTGAAGTGTCTAATTTACATCCCCTTTTCAAGAAAAGGGATGTAGTCTAAAGACACCCCATGTGACACAGTCAGTGCTGAGAGACATACATGTAAATGCATGTCACAACTGAAAGACATGCATGTACATACATGTTCAATGCTAATCTTGGTCAGAGGTCATGCTGGATATGAGGATCTTCACTGACTTGATCGCTGGTGCCTTCCTCGCTATATTGTAAAATGTCCATTACGTGTGGGCTGCAGGGATGAGAGTGTCAAGTGCAGTAGCTCCCTTCTATTCCATCTATCTTAAACAACATCATTATTATAATCTGATCTCTAAACATAGTCCACCTATGGAATGGAGGAATCAGTAGGCACAATGGCACAGAGAGCATCCTCATCCATCCACAATCATTTATGCATGGCCACAGCAAGAAGGAGAAGGAACTATAACAGTGTGAAGTCAACCCTCTTGTGCCAGAATAAAAATTAGGCCTAGATGAAACACATCGAGATGACATTCTTACTTACACTGAGATCTGTGAAATAGTTCTCATGGGATAATGCATGGAGGATGGTAGACTGGTTCACACTTCATAAAAAAGGGTAATAAACATCAATATCTCAAGCTGCAGGGAGAGTACTGCTAGAAGCTCAGTAAGGTTTGATCTGGAGCAGATATGTCCAGTCAACCTACAGTGGGAGACAGTACTGGGGAAGTGGTAATGGTGAGCACAGCCTATGGGAAGGAATGGATGAAAGGCCAAGTCTGAATTTGCAGTGAGATATAGGATTACAAATTCAGAGACATTACAGTGAGATATAGGATTACAAATTCAGAGACAACTTTCTCATCATACTTTGTCCTTCTCTAGCCTCCTTCAACTGAGGATCTCCATATGCTTGCTCTGTAACCCTAGCACAAAGGGAAGCAGCCAAGGAAACCATGTGTAACAGACAGGGAAACTATGCCTCACAGACCTTGCCTGAGGCTCCACAAAAGTCAGCAGCAGAACCTGCAAGAGAAACCATAAATCCTATTCTTTAACCACACCATCTGTCTTTTCTTCATAGCATGACATTGGTCATGGAGAGAGAACAGTAATGCTGTATATGACTTTGATGCCAGTGCAGTCAGAATACGTGATATCTCCTTTTACTCTAATATTGGACAACATCCTGGAGGACTACATGAATTGCAGGGAACACTCCTGCTCTTGGGCAAGCAGGCAGATTTTTGGGGGACCTACTAAGGTGTGACGTAGTGTTGGTACCTTGCTGGTTGCTAGGCTGGGGCTGTGGGTAACCCCCACTGGCTGCTGTCTGTAGCACAGCCCAGCAAGACAGGGGATGAGTCATTACGCAAGGGGTTCCCAACCTGTCCCACCAGTTGCCTCCCAGAGAGAGAAACAAAGGAAGGAGGGGAGGCCAGCCCCTGGCTGGGGGGCAGGGCTGGAAGGGACGTTTTTAGTTTCTGTCTGGTATCATGGAGGAAGCAGCCTAAGCAACGGGCTGGGATTTAGGGGCCCAGTCTCCCACATCTCAAGGGGGGCTGAGGCATCCTAGGCCTGCTCTGTAAACAAATTATATCTAGGCTGTGCTGTATCCTGGAGAAGCAATAAACTCCCTCTATTCTACTGGCCAGTGGAGTCTGTTCATGCTATTATGGGGTTGCAGGAGGTGGGGGAACCCCGACATGCCGCCACAGTAAGGCTTTGCCATTTCTGACTTATCAGCACCCAAAGCACAAGTCCCTATTACATGAGCAAGAACAGAAACTTATAACTGGGGATAGCCATCAGACTTTAATTGCTGGGACAATCCCTTGCATAGACATGATTTCATTCACACATTAATTCAGGGCAAAAGCTGTTGCTGGATGTTTGTCTGTGAAGGGCTACATGCACATATAGCTCCTCTCTAAAGTGGCTAGCTCTATGACCATCCCCATGCCCTTCCCTGTCCACAGTACCTTAAATGAGAACACAGATGGGATTACACTAGCCTTCAGTTGCTTCTGCCCTCCATAAAGCTCAAACTCATCTAGGGTGAAGTGCTGTGAGCAGAGGCAGGCTCCAGCACCTGGGATCCACAGCCTCTTGGAGCTGGGCTCGATGCGCTTCACAGCCAACATCTACTTCTTCCTTAGTTCATGGGCTTTGGGGAAGCTGTGGAGAAACAGGTGAACTTTTCAGTCCTGTTATGTTACCATGGGAATGTGTGAGACACACCACACAACAGACATCATCCTGATCCCTATGCTCAGGCCTGCCCTGTGGCACTCACTGTTCATCCTGGTCCCCATGAACTGGCCTGCTCTGTGGTACTCACAGTCTGTCCTGGTCCCCATGCACAGGCCTTCCCCATGGCACCTACCTTCCATCCTGGTCCCCATGCCCAGGCCTATCGCAAGACTAGCATTCCCTGTAAGCTGTGTGTTTGTGTGGCTATTCAGGAGAGATTCAAAAGCTACCCAGCTGGTTAACAGAGCATCCACAGATAGGATTTTTGTTTCTACTGGTGGTGCACATTCACGCAAGCCTCTGTGCATATACATTTATTCTGCACATGGAGGAAAAAACCCCACACATGGATGGAAAAGATTAGCGGGAACACTGCTGATGGCACCAACGCCCACCCTGTTCCCCGTGTCCAGGTCTGCCCCAAGGCATCGGTGCCGACTTGCTGGATGGCACCAACGCCCACCCTGTTCCCCATGTCCAGGTCTGCCCCAAGGCATCGATGCCGACTTGCTGGCACGGACCCATAGGTACAACCGTGAGGGCAGAGAGCAGACTCCGCCCCAGAGACACTAGCCCCGCCCCCAAGGAGACTAGCTCCCAGCAGGCCTGTGGAAGGACAGTCCCCGGGCGCGGTTCTCGCGCGTGTCGGGCAGTTAATGGCGGAGCAGGCCTTGGGCATCGTCCTGCAGAGCCGCGAGGGCTCGGAACCCCCGTCGCGTCCGAACTACCCTGCCCCGAGTGTCATGGCGGCGGCGTAGGCCGCGCC